TTAAATTATGCACCCTGCTCCAATAAGGCAGGAAGTATTGAACACGTCAGAAAAAACATTCTTATCAAAATACCTAGCTTACTTTTTTTAAGCGTCAGTAATTCAAGTGGCTTATTTTGTGGAATATCTCATTTTCAATGATGTTAGACCACTAAAACTCAACTATGTTTACAGGGGAATAGGAGATGCTTAATATTATGGCCAGATGCTGACTGATAGCTCAGGAAATGAAAGGAAAAACAGATGATTTATTTGTCAATTAAAAAGTTAAATGCTGCTACAAAATCTCCATAATTATAAGATTTTATATCTTCAAAATATTTCTTTCAGTATCTGAACATTAATTTTTCACTCCTCTTTGGCCGGTCACTTATGTTGTTTCCAATGATATCCTCATTGAAGCTATGTATCTCAGGATACTTCATAAAATAATTCAGAAGAAAAGGCCAGAGATAAATCAGAAGGACATGTGTTTGTTTAGGTAGCTGTCCAAAGGAAGGACAAGCTTGCATTCTCTTAACACAGCGGTGCTGGCTTTGTTTCTCTGTAATTCCTCAGCTGTGCCAGTTCAGGGGCATTGGTTTAATCCCAGGACTGGCTCCCTTCATGGTTACGAAATGCTTTTAGCAATTCCAGCTTCACATGTCCACAAATCAAGATGTGTGGCAGAGCAGAGAACATTTTTTTTCTTAATTCCCTCTCATAGAGCCTCAGAAGATCTCTTTACTGTTATCCTCAAAAAGACTCCCTCTGATTTCACTATCACGAATTATATTAATCCATGTACCTGAGGCCTGTGGCCAGCAGAATGTCACTCACTTTTTGGCTTACGTCTGGATCACTGATGTAATCACCATGCTAAGTGACATGAGATTTTCCTGAGACATTCAATCCTACCTTTGAGGCTCTGGTACAAGAGGTGATCCTGTAGGAGTCAACATCTGTATAAAAATTGGGTTTTTATGAGTTTGAGGGGAATTCTAGGTAGAAACAATCATTGACTGCGGCAATAAAATAGACATTGTATGTATGTATAGAATTTCCCTTTCCTTTTGATTTTTTCTTTGTTATGTTTTGTAATATTTAAGAAAAGTGTTTTTTTTTTTTTTTTTTTTGTTTTTTTTTTTTTTTTTAATCTAATAATGGGAACTTCTTGGGTCACAATGCCCGGAATCCATTTAAATTGTTTAAGCAAATGAGGAAACATTGGAGTATAATTAAGATACATTGTCTTATTTTCCAACAAAGTATACTTTCCCTTTTTCTGAGGAAAGTATGTTTAATGAGAGCAGCCTTATTTCTTTTTTACATGCACTTACACTTTTCTGGTATCATGAACTACTTGAAGGATGAACAGCTGATTAAGGCGCAGCCAATCACAGCTTCCTCTGTCCCAGACTGTAACTGGGGGGATGGACTGTTTCAAGCCAGTTCTGACTGCCTTCCAAAGAGTTTTATAAGAGGGAATTGCAAAACTTGAGAAAGCGTGATTGAAAGCCCATTTTGTTTTATCTTGAAAAACTGTGCATGCCCAGAGCTGCTAGTGGTCATTGCTCCAGCCTTGTGGAGAAAGCAGGTCTCAAAGAATAAAGCCAGAACTCAAAGACTAGCAGCAGAAAGAAGTGGAACAAAAGAATCGTGGAGACATCACAGCACCTGATTCTAGTTGTTCCAGCGGCATTCTTAGCCTTCCAGTTTATTTGGGTAGGCAGTTTCTAAAAGAATCTCTTTCCTTTGTTACTTCTATAGATATTGGCTACATACTGCTAATTTTCTTTTCCAAAATATTGGACTAATTTACACTCTTACTGACATATTTGATAAATCAGCAAGGGCTTATTATTTAAGAGATTATATACTGGATACTTTTTAAATGCATATATTACAGAAAGTAGAAGTTGTAAAGGAAATCAACTGTAGCAAAAGATACATAGCGTTTGGGGTCAGGCAAGCCTGAACCCAAAAATCTTGTTCTCCTGCTTGCTAACCACATAATTTTCGGACAGTTACTTGAGCTTCAATCACTTCCCTTACAAAAATGGACATATTAATGTCTAGCCAGCATCGATTTAAAAGCCCAGCATTTAATTAATACCTCTTCCTTTTTTCCTGGAATATAAAGATCTGTTTTATTTCTAATTTAACCACAGACTTTTTTATCTAGGGAGTTCATATTACCCACTTCTGTGTACGTCACCTTAATTTTTACCTGAGAGATTTAAAAATATTTGTAAACCTATTTTTTATAATGTTTAATATCTCAAGGCTTTTTAAACACTGTTATATCTTAAATTAAAAGTGAATAATTTGGCCAGGCTCCTGTAATCCCACACCTATAATTCCAGTACTTTGGGAGGCCAGGGTGGGATGATGCCTTGAAGCCAGGAGTTTGAGACCAACCTAGGGAATGTAGTGAGACTTCATCTCTACAAAAAAATTTTAAAATTCGCTGGGCATCACGGTTGGCACCTATAGTCCCAGCTGCTTGTGTTAAAGAAACTTCTCTTCTCAGGTCCACTAGGGGAGAGGTTTCAAATGCAGGAATTTCCCACCTCCCTGCCTCCAGGGGCTGGGACTCTTTAAGCACCTCCTCCACGTGGGCCAGGTAAAATTCTTTGTCTGATCTTCCTGCCTGCAGGAAAGTCAGGTGGGGCTGTTTTGTCCCAAATTCCTGCTGAAAGCTCTAGGAGGAGAGGACTCTGTAACTCAGGGTTGTAGAACAAGAAAGCAATCCAGAATCAGAGTCAAAGATCAGTCACTCCAGAGGAAGTTTGAAAGAACTCCTCTCATTGGATGAGAACATGAATGGGGAGGGAATAACTCAAGGGTTAAAACTTCAGCTGCTCCTGCCTGAACGGATTCCTTCTCTGGATCTCCTCCCACAACAGCATGGGAGCTGTCTTCTTTCTCTCTGTCTAATAAATGGCTCTTCTGCAATGCTCTTTGGGCCCACGGTGAACAGTAAATTCACTGTGCCTCAGGAACCCCTTTCCCCATTCTTCAGGGATAGAGAGGCCAAGAACCTACCACATGAGCTTAGTATTCCTCTGGTAACATGACCATGCCACTGAGCTCTAGCCAAAGTGACAGAATAAGACTGTCTCAAAAAAAAGTAAACAATTTGTATCAATGAAAAAGAAGAAGCTCTTACCTTTAAAACTCAGAGAATAATAGTACTCCTTGGTATTATTCCATTACTCCTTGACCACTCATGAGTTAGACTTTCTTTGGTTAGTGTCATTAAGCCACGTACAAGGTGATTGGGGCTTTGGTATTTCCAAGAAAGCCATTCCCAATTGTCATCCAGGAAAAAACTAGTTTGTCATCTCTGGAACAAACTAGTTTATTTGGGAATAGCAGAGAGTTGCTATCTAGGATTTCATGCTGTAACCAATCATAGAAATATTCAATGGGAGATCATGGGGATAGAGGCAAAAGGAAGATTTGTAAAGCCAAAAAGAATAAATCCACTTAAGTTGCTTTAAAATAAAGGTTCATAGGTCAGAGAATCATTCCAAGTGTTGGCACTTGGTCAAAGGTGCACCCAGTCATTGCTAGTTAAGTGTCCTTGTGTAGGTGGCTTATCTGGAATATTGCAATCTTAAGGAAGTTCTTGTGATAAGTGCTGCTACTGGTCCGCATGCAGAAATGTCTTGTGAAAAGTCCTGATAAAGGCATAAACACATGAAAACTCCCTGCCATGGTCTCTCAACTCCATTTTGTTAGAATTGAAATAAATGACTCCATTTTGGCACCAGCAACTTTCAGGTAGTCTTTATATTCTCTTTGCTTTGCTCAGTAATGCTTTGTTGCAATAAATTTATATCTGGAGATTAAAGGGTACACTTAGAATAATGGAAAATCTACCTATGTGAAATCATTGGCTTTGTGAGGTTGCCAATTATATACTAAAAATGTATACAACCATATAAATGTCGTGTGTTAATGAACTTTTATAGCAAGATCATGAATCCATATAATTTATCAGAATTCCTATATTGGTAGCTATGTCTTTGTAGATTTTTTTCAACTTAATTTGCAAGCTATATAGGAAATATTCATTAGTATATATTCTTGTAGTTTGAATTATTTTTAAGGGTTTAATGAATCATTTCAGCAAGTTCACTTTAATTCAAAGAGAATACTTTATTGCTTCGCCTTAAATTTTAAATTTATATGTATGCTAACTTCAGAAAAGCACCTTAATTATTTAAAGCTTTTCTTAACATATGCAGATATAAAACAATAGTTTTTTGAAAGCTGAAACATTTTTACATCAGAAGAGACTAGAAGAAATGGGTAAGAGTAGAAGCACTGCTGTTTTTCATTTCCTTAACATGCATTTGTCAGCTAAAGGTTACTTTTCAGGTCAGGAAAACTTGTATGCTAATCCCTTCTGATGAGAGAATCAAGGAACCATGTTGGGACTTTTGCTTTTTTAAGTAAAAGAATATTATAATATTCAGAATGGTAGAGACATGTGTAAATATAATGCTACATTCAATTTAAAGTTCCTTTCTTATGTTTATATTTTGGGGAGGAATAAATATCTATAATCCACAAATATATGATGACATACATCTTTAAATTTATCATTATTTTTTTCATTTAGCTGATTTTTCTGAACAAGGAGTGAAGTTCTGAAATCTTAAATCTCTTTGTAATTATTGCACCATGACACTTAATCTGGAAAGCCTCTGGACACTTTTATTCTAGGAGAAAAAGGATCAGATATTATATAAGGCTAGAGCTGTACTCAAGAAACTTGAGGAGTAAAAGGATTTAGGGGAAATTGGAAAAGGACAGAATATTGACTATTACTTTACAGTAAAATAAGCAATTTGATTTCTCTACCATTTAATCCTTATTCTTCCTTTGGAACACACACACACACACACACACACACACACACACCCACACACACACTTACACACATGAACATGAACATGCAGAGATCACTGTATTTATAGAAACCTTAGTCAATTGGCAGTTTGCTGTTCCCCCTCTGCCAGTGGCTTGAGATAACAAAAGTGAAAGACATTTGTCTTTACTTTTTAACTCTAGACCTGTTCTTGAATTTGAAGAACCCACTGTGGCTAACAATCATGGATATTCTCATACTATGTCTAAAATAGGTAAGGAGGAATGGTAGATTTTGGCATTCATTCAGGATGAAAGTTTTGTTTTGTTGGTACCAAGGGAGGTTTGTGAGGAAGTTGAATATATAAGTAGTTTATAAGTGTTTTGGTAAAGGCAAAAGCATCTGGTAGTCACTGAGAAATGTTTAGTGTCAGGAGGAATATAGGTGTGAGAAAGACTGAAAGAATGAGAGACTGTGATTATACCGGGGTATACGGGATTTCAAGACATCCGAGGGGCAGCAGCTCTTCCTCTTGTCAGATCTCAGTACATAGAAGAAGCAATGACTATGGTATCTATGCTTCAACACGTTTTTGAGGGTAATAGAAGATTAGAAAATGACAGCTATGAGGAGGGGTGAAATATGGTATGAAACTCAAAGAAGGAAGGGGTTTTGCAAAAGGGAAAAAGAATCAACGTTGGGAAACTGCAATGCTTTCTATCATAATGAAAATGATTTAATCTCTGTTTTGCAGTCATGAAGGGCATTCTGTAAAACACCATGGGTATGCATTCCATGGTCTGAGAGTAGTGTCAGGTGAGGGCACTCTCCTGTTATTTGCTAGCCTCCTACATATGGGCTTGACATTGATACATCATCTTTTAATGAATAAATTCAAGGTGGCAAAGCTAAATAAACACACTGAGCATTTTATTACTCATTAGAGATATTTGGCCGTTTGTAAGGTTGGCATACGGCTGCGTTTTCACTTCCATTCTCTTTAGCTAAGTCATAATGCTCAATGTGACTTCCTTCAAAATGTCTCTCATGTTTATACATTTCTCTCCATTCTTTGTCTCAGAAGTAGTTCAGTTGGAAATCTGAAACTATTTTCTCCAACTCTCACCTCTCTTCCCTTTCAATCGTTTTAGTGCATCAGTATGATTAATCTTTGCAGAAGAATGATGTCATTATCTAATTTTATTGCTCAAGAACATACACAGTATTGATTCTCTACTGGGTATAATATTCAGTTCTATTAAGTCCTTCATCAGTCTATGTCTTTAGCCTTGTTCCCCACCACACCCCACCAGGCATGGTCTACTCCGCTCTGGCTTTTGCTCTTTCTGTCCTGTGGCATATAATGTTTACACTTCCGTTTGTGCACTTCCTGATTCTATTTCATCTCCTTCGATTGACCTCGCTTTTCCTATCAAGGAATTCAAATTTTGCCCTGCTTTTTGGCCAAATTATCGGCCTGTCTAAAAAAAAAAAAATCATTTGAAATATTCCCACCTATCATGGCCTTCTCCCATTTTTATGCATTTAACTATTTCCTTGTTTTGTCTCTTAGAATAGATTTTATGCTACGTGAGGGAAGGTGCCATTGAATGGCACAACTTTGTCTACTGCCATTGTGTTTAGGAACATGATATTGGTGATATATAGACAATCATACATAACCATCGTTGTGTTCCCAGTACGTCATTCAAAACATAACATGTTTATTGACTGATTGCCTTGATATTTTTCAATGAGGTTTATCAACCATCAACTTAGTATGACATCAACTAGCAACTTTTAGGTTGCTTGACTATTTTACATATCAGAATTTGCCAAAAACTACTGCCTCTTCTGGATTAGTCACCTGCTAAAATAAGCTTATAATAAAGCCATCACTAAAATTATCAGATCCAAAGCATAAATGGACTTTGATTACAGGCGGATATTAACATTCACATAGCAAGTTTTACTATTCAATTTGTAAGTCTCCATTAAAAGACACTCCAGTGACCTCAGCCTTAAGCTTCAGGAAAGTCAATTCAATTTGTAGTTTCATAACCTAAGAAGCCAGGCACTAGGCTACTCAGTTCTGTGGCAGAAAGTAATATTCAGAACCATCTGAAGGTCAATCATGAGTAAAAACTCCGGCTCAATAAAAGAAATAAAAAATGAATAATTTTAAAGTGATGCATAACATAGCATTTCGTTGCAGTTAATTCTATTTTCCACTTCTTTACTATAAGACAGTCCAAACATGAGAAATTCTAATTCTCTTTAAACCCTGGAAAACATTTTTATGAAAAATTAAGTGTGAAAGTGACTCACGTTCAAAAGTAATGAAATTATTCCTATGCCGCAAACTTATATTGTAGAAAATTCAGACAAACTAAATTTCTACAGTCAGGGAAAGGGAAGTCAGGCAACACATTTTAAAGTAGAAGACAAACCTGCTCAAGTTTTCTGTGGGTTTTGCTCTGGCTCTGGCCATTGTTTTCTCCACTGCCTTCTGTATGTTAAAGTCATCTGAATAAGCATTCTTGTGTCCTCACCTGCAAAACAAAATAGTTAAATCTGATCGGCCCTTCTACACTGAGCCACTACATAACAAAAGTTTGATTACCATTTCAGTATGTTGGAGTTAGTGAACTGCATTGCATCAATCTTTTGTAAAACCAGCAAGTAAAATATCAAGGAGTAAATATGTTTGGGTACAAATTCTTCTATGGGAAAAGTTATTTGTCACACCAAAAATTAATTGAGCATATTCTCTGTACAACCATGTGACACTGATATGCTTGGCCCTGTGTCCCCACCCAAACCTCATCTCAAATTGTAATCCCCATGTGTTGAGAGAGGGGGGTGATTGGATCATGGGGGTGGTCTCCGCATGCTGTTCTCATGAGAGTGAGTGAGTTCTCATGAGGTCTGTTGGTTTATAAGCATCTGGCATTTTTCCTGCTTGTACTTTTCTCTCCTGCCACCATGCGAAGAAGGTCCTTCCTTCCTCTTCGCCTTCCACTATGACTGTAAGTTTTCTGAGGCCTTCCTAGCCATGTGGAACTGTGAGTCAATTAAATCTCTTTTCTTTATAAATTACCCAGTCTCAGGTATTTCTTTAAAGCAGTGTGAAAATGGACTAATACAGATGCACTGCTTTGTGGTTTGAGAACATGAAAGCAGGCCATAAAATATAAGGACTTGAGCCCTAAGGACACAAGAGACACAAACATGAAATGATCATAGCAGTGAGACAACATTGCATAAAGATAAGTCACTGGGAAATGTAGCATACTATGAGTTCATGAGCACAGGAGATCTGTGGGTCAAAAGATAAAATTCGTTTCGGCTATTGTGTTGAAACACAATGTTTGCCTATGTGCTTGATGCATATCTTATCTTTTTTGAGGAAATTTAAAGTGGGCTTTGAGCACGAAGACTTTTAGCACAAAAGGAGAAATCAAAATCTGAGGTCTGCAAGAGGGAAAACAGAAGCATAAATAGGGTATGCAGAGAAAAAAAAAAGTTTGGAAATCAGGGTAGTATGGAAATTAATCAGCAGGTGAAAGCAAAAACTGCCAATTCCTTCATGAAGCCAAATTACTGTCCTCCTGAGGCCCCTTCACCAGCTCATCAACTTTGCTGTTTAAAGATATCTTCCTGGGTTTCAAAAGCAGCATAGAGTGAGTGTCCTTTCCTTGTAGCTTTATTCAGCACACAACCAGCAACTGACACATCCAAGACAGCTTCTATCCAACATTTTGACTACTTGTGAATTGCTGTGTAGCCCAGTGGTGAACAAGGGAAAGGTTTAGGGTTGCACCTAAATAGATTTATTGAATGTGCATATCCATATATATTTATTGCCCTGCACTTAAGCCATCTCTTTTTTACACCAAGTCTCCTCATCCATGGCCTTAGCATGGCCATCTTCTCCTCTCCCATTGTCATTGTCATCTCATTATGCTAGGAAAAGGATTTCTCTACCCACAAGCAATACACATTGTGGAAACAGAGTAGTTAAATATGAAAGTCACTGGTGTATCAGCTCCAGCAATTATATGAGGTCCTTAGTTTGACCATGACTTTATTTACACTTTTCTTAACTATATTAAGGTTCCAGTTCTTAACCTTTAATATTTAATTCTGATTATACTTTTTTTCTGTCAATCTCCAGTTTAGGACTGTGGTGTTTTAAAAGAATTAATTTTTCTTTATATTCCTTGGCTCAAAGCTTAATTCAAGTAAAGTTTCTTCTTTTAATCAAGTATTTTCTTTTTTCTAGGCAGTTTCAAAGCAAGAATTGTACATTAGTTAATAGAATTGATGTATGTGCATCCACACCAAACTCACACAGTGAACAGATAAGACTCAGAACCGGTTTGTTGTTTAAGAACCATATGCCCAAATGGAAATAATTATGTAGAAAGAAAGATACTTGTAACTTTTTCCAGCTCACTCACCAAAAGGCACCAAGCTATTAGGTTTTCTTTCTTTTAAAAAATGAGGAAAACTCTTTCTTTTCTTAGAATAGTAAGTTCAGCTTTTTCTCAGCTCTGGAAAAATTGATTTGATAGAAAGGAAATTATATACTGAATAATGTCAGAAACGAGCCCACAGGAGAAAACCTTCCCAAGAAAAAAAAAAAAGCAGAAGAACCAATAGTCTGACAAAATTCTCTGAAAAAAGATAAGTGCATGTAGGGCTGAAGAAGCATGCTGGAGTGTGAATCTAATTATGTATTTGAATTTGAAGATAAAGTAGTCGACACTGGTAAATATCCACAGAACACTTGTAAAGACAAAGACTTTTTTGAAACAAAGAATTGCTTACCACCCCATAATAAACTTGATATTTGCCATCAGCCTGTACTACAGACACTATATATACTCAATTATTTTCAACTGGTTTTACTCTTCTCATTCAGACACCCTTTTTAACAATTCTGTTTCTAACACTAAAACATTCCATTCCTTCATTCCACCTCTCAGAAATTTTCTTAGCTAAGAACTAAAATAGAAAAAAAACAATTCACAAAAATCGGGCTGATCCATGGGTCAAATTCTCATGACCTAACCTGCCAGTTGAGATAAAACAATGAGACAATTATTTTAGGTATGCTTTATCAATTCCTGTATTGAATATTGCAAACCATTCTCAGCTCTTCATGCATTCTCAGTTTGGCACTCACTTTTCCTCTTAGTGCAATGAACTTCTCCATTCAACTTCAAGATGAAGTGATATGCCAGTGAAGACTCCACTGAAGGAGGTATCATCGCCTAATAATCTGAGTTGATACCTCCTCCTTTTTCTCCCCTCTCAGGAAGAATCGCCCTCCTCATGTCCAAGTCACCCCCAGTCTGTTCCCTCAATCCCAACCATCTAGCTGGGCTCAGTAGGCCACACCAGCAATCCCAGCTACTCAGGAGGCTGAAGCAGGATCGCCTGAGCCCAGGAGTTCCAGACTGCAATGAGCTATGACTGCATCACTGCACTCCAGCCTAAGCAGCAGAGCCAGGCCTCCATCTCTACAAAAGAAAAAGAAAAAAAAAATAAAAGGAAATTCCAACCTTCTTAGCCTCTGCTGAACTATCATCCTCAATTGTTTTCTCTCTACTAGCTTAAGGTATATTAGATTTTCTCAAGGTGTATTATAAAGCTATCCTATCTTTTGCTAAAAAAAAAAAAATATAGTTCACATTTGCTAGTCATCAACTGCTCACTTACTTCTCAGATCTTTGTAGCCTCCTTCTTTTATTTCCAAGCATTTTATTGCCAGTTTTCTATAAAGAATCTCCATTGGCC